CTGAGGATCTGGCTCTAAGATCCAGCGCTTCTTGTGGACACTCGCTTGCCTAACAGAGCAGACGAGCACGACCAGAAATGAGCGTGGGAGAAATCAGTTACAATACTATGAACCAGAACTCCCATCTTACTGATCAGTTTAAAAGAGTCAGGCGCAGCTGCGCCCCTCCCTCAACGAGACACAGAGCTCAATTTATAACGAAGCAATGGCAGCAAGAGAGATGTAAAACTAGGCCCCAAACAGCTTCCAAAGTGTTCAAACTAAGAAGACGGCTTGCTTTCGATGTGCTGTTCCCCAGCCTCGTTGAAGCCGACAATGAAGGTTTGGTTTGGGCTCCCAAAACTTGCCTTCAGTACTATACACCTCGTAAACACAACGAAGGGTAAGATTTTAACTACTGCCGAGTTTTACTTGGCCCCCCTCTGATCTCCTTGGGGGGATATACCCAGAGACAGCTATAAATACACCGTGCTGGGGGATCACTCCATTTCATACCGTAACTTGAATTGCTGTAAAAAAGACCAAACATCCCCTTGCTTCTCAGCCTCACTGCAGATACTAAACAGCAACGTGATCCAGAGACCTCGGAGCCGGACATTTACACTTGAAACTTGCAATCCCCAACTCACACCTGCAAACCATGTCAGCGGGCGTGCGGCCTACAGCAGACGCTGCACTCAGAGCGCAGGCCTGCTCTCAGGAGTGACTCCATTAAAAGGGCACTGCGCGGCTCCATGCTCATTGGCTCAATAAAGAAAGAACATCAGGACTGGGGGGAAAGGAGCTGGTACCGATTGCAAGCCTAGGACAGGACACGCCGTTTCAGGAACCCCGGTTAAAACCTGCTGTCTTGGGTGCTGTTTTTGCAGAGCGGCTTTTCAGGATGGCACTGCACTTTAGAACATCTAGGGGTGCAGTTATCGGTCGTCTTCTTTCGTATGGCTGGTGTTGAGCAGCAACTACAATTTCACCTGAAGTTGATTGAGCCAAATGGCTACATCAGGAGTAGCAGAGTTTACTGCAGTGATGCCTCCTTCATATTTACCAATTGGGCAGTAGGTGGTGACATGGTGAATGGTCTGTCGTGGGGACCCACACTCGCACACCGGGGGGTCCTGGATTTTCCATTTGTGCATTAGATATCCGCATCTACCATGGTTGGTTCGAATTCGGTTCAGAGTTGACCAAGATGACGTGGAAGGTCGAACCCAGGAAACTTCTGTGTGGGATCTGGCACAAGGTGCTTATTTTTTTAAGTCTTGTTTAGCCCAATCTGCTTTCCAAGCCTCCTCCTGGTCATAGCCTGATTGCATGAGGCTAAACGAATGTTCCCAGAAAGGCTTGCGGGACTTAAGACGTTGCCGGGGGGAGGGGGCATTGTCACGGTCTTGGTGAATAGGAAGACATCTGTTTTCCTGGATTCGCTGAGCTTTGTGGAATGTTGCAGCAGTTCAGCCGATCAGCGAGGGAGCAATGTCACACAGGACAGGTAGCCATGGTGTTGGAGTCGATTTAAGGGTTCCTGTGATACATCACATCACTCTATTCAGCTGGGTATCCACAAGTCATGCGTAGCTGCATCTGCTCCATACAATATTCAGCTACTGAACATACAAGTGTTATTACAGATGTTCGCAACACTGATGCTGATGCACCCCAGGTTGTACATGCTAGTTTCTGGATTATGTTGGCTCTCGTTTTTATCTTTGCAGCTACCGTCTCAAGACAGTCATGGAAGGAGCGGGTGCGATCACGTTTCACTCCGAGATATGTTGGAGTGTAATGGTGTTGCACATTTTTACCACAGAAAGCTACTTTCAGTATGTTTTTGGCACTCTTATTATCAAGATGAAATGCACTTACTATTATTTTTCCAGGGTTTGGTTTGAACCTCCATTTCTGGAAACATTGCTCCATATTTTGGAGGTCCTCAGTTAATGCTTTCTCAATGTCATGGAGGTTTGATGCTTGGATTGTCATGGCAAGATCATCTGCACATGCCGTTATTGGTTAGAGCTATTTACATACACTGCACCAAATCCAGGCTCTGGCGAACATCCCAGTGAAGCAGACATGGTGTTTGTCAGCTTGCCGATCACGTGGGATTTCTTCTGTTGTTGCAGCTAATATAATCCTTCCTGCTTTGAAGAATTTAGTTTGCGTTCAGCAGGTGGACCCGCCCTTCTTCTGACAGGAAAAATTATCCAAGTTTGCTCTATTGTCACCGTCTTTGGGAATGCCAGGGCCAAGGAAAAGGCACGCTCCTGCTTTTCCTGAAGTGGAGTAGCTGGAATCAGCATGAGAACTGAATTTAGCTTTGTGAGCCGAGTGAAGGAAAGAAGGAAGGGGGAAGTTTTCATTGCAGGCCTTCTGGGAAGCAGTGAACAAACATAACATCTTCCCAAGTACAGTCCAAAACCTGAGCACACTTCTCATCAGTTATGGCTACTTCTGAAACAAAGCATCTACTGGACATCAGGGAACAAATTCAAGCTCGGTGTAACTTCACTGAAATCAATGGCTTTACACTAGGGAGGAATTTGGCCCACAGATTTTATAATGGGAAGATGCAAATTTTCCAAAGAGGAAATCCCGAAGCTATTCTGAGTTGCTGAGATGACAACATCTTATCATTGGGAACTCCCCACGGAGGAAAACCCCGGCTCGGGACACATTGCACTGAGTAAAGTGCTAGGAATGAAACGGGAACATTTTCAGGATTTCCTTCGATGGAGACCTGTCCTCTGCTGTTAGAATGGCGATTCTTTTGGTGTGAGCCCGTCTTGTCAAAGGGGAGCTCGCTCAGAGGCTGTTTCTCCTTCAAATTAACCTTCTTGGGGCAAGGACTCAGCAGATCTGGGTTCAATCCCACTCTCCTGGGGCAAATCATTCCCTCTCTTTGTGCCTCAGTTACTCCTCTGTGAAATGGGGATAACCACATTCCCTATACTGCAGGGTGTGGTGAGGAGAAGTTCATTAAACCCTGGGAGGTGCCAAATACCATGGTGATGGGCATCAACGAAAAGCTGCTCTCAAGTCACGCATGCGCCTCGAAGGGCAGAATCTGGCTCGGTCTTTAATAAACAATTTTAATAAAGCTGTACAGTGTCACCAACGCACCAAGCAACCGTACAGAGAGCAGAACAATAGCCAAGTTCCCCTGCTGAAACATGATCTCATCGAGTAAACATGTTGTTTGGAATAAGGCTTTAACAAAAGTTATCCTTCTGCCCGGGAGAAACGCCACCCATGTCGCTGGGAGGATACATGTCTGCTTTATCCGCTACAAAAATCCCAGGGCTCTCCAAGCTGGTCACAGAGCCACAGGGCCATGTCTTGAACTAAAACCCCATTTTGCACTGAGGCACCAGCATTCCAAGCCCAAGACAGGATTTCGCAGCGTCACAGACTGTAAGGCCCGACCATGGCGGTCATCTGGTCTGACCTGCTGCAGAACACAGGCAGACAAGCTCATTGCGGTGTCATGCCTGTCACTTCTGGCTGCGCGAGAGCAGGGCTTTTACACGGCTCTGGGCAAGCTGTTCCCATGATTAATCACCTTCACTGTTGAAAATCTGCACCTCATTTATTTCGATTTCTAATGCTGTCAATATCAAAGAGGCATGTTAGGCACTCTGACATCAACCAGCAGCCACACACCCCATATTCCAGAGATGGTAATCAGCAGCTTAAACGACGCTAATGTAGTCCTGCCCAACAGTGCCCCGCTCTGATGTATCTGGCTAATGCAAGGGCTGGGAGTGGCAGGACTACTCAGCCCCCAGACAGATGCTTCCCATCCCTTTTCCCTCACCTCTCTGGAGAAAAGCAAAACTCCCCTCATCCCGCTGGATAGGGACAGCGTTACAATGGACTCGGATTTAATAAGCAAGGGCTAGGTTGGGCCATTTCAGCACAACCCAGTGTAGGGGCAACTAAAGCAAATATTTTGATTCCTGGACATAAAACCATACAGCTCTACTTCTTAGCCTGTAAGCTGTTAGGGCAGGGGCTAGCTTTGGTTATGCACGCACACCTACCACAATGGGGCCTGGAACCTTGATTAGGGCCTCTAGGAAGTCCTGCAATATAAATAATAACCAAAACAACAACAACAGAGGCCTGCGCTGAGCTGAGTACAGGACCCTCCGGCTCCTCCCCTTATATGCCATCTGTGCAGGCCAGAGACTCTACTGGCATCAGTACATTCTGGATCTCCAAAGGTGAGCTACTGGAAAAGGGGGGATCATTCCAGATACAGCATGTGAAATTAACCAACTAAACAACGGTCTGCATGCATCCTCTGTTGTGTCCCTTCCACCTTCCTCTGTGGTGCAACTGCAGGCTTGCCAACTCCAAACTGATGTTCGACTTATTCCGTCTGAGTGACAAAGCAAAGCAGTTCCAAGAGCAGAGGAGTGCTAGACCTGAGGAACAAGCAGCAGTAAGACTGGATGCATTTGGTCTTGCCCCTCTGGTTGTCCACTAACATTTCTAGTGCTCCCGGCCCCTAGAATTTCACGGATTGGGGGACTCAGAAAAGGAGGGTAAGTGGCTTTCCAAAAGCTGCACAGTGTAGGAGCCAGGACTGGTATGTTGGAGCCCCTAGAGCCCTGTTCTGTACTCAGACAACTAGACCAGGCCTTTCTCCAAGTTATGCCAATGTACAGAGAGGAGCCTGAATGCCACAATCTTCACCAACGTTCTATTGGCCCTGCTCTTTTACTGATGAGACCCCGTGGCATCAGGCATATGAAGCTCCCCACAGAATGAACCAGTATGACTCAGTGGGGCTTGCTAAGGGACCTACCTCACCACATCTATTTCTTTGGGTCCCAACCCTGCAATTGGATCCACATGGGCAGATCCTTATCCCCGCACGAATTCTCACGAAAATCAGTGCGGTGGCACCCAGGCACATGGGTTCACCTATACAAGTCTGACTGCAGGATCAGGGCTGTCACACGTAACTAGGAACCTAAGTAATTTCTGTCACTTACAATTGGCTGTAGTTGAGCGCCGGGTAACATGAACTGCATCTGCTGTGCAAACATGGCTGCTGCGGTCTTTTGCTGGATCAGATTGTTGCGTCCATTTATTTCGAGCTGTGTTTTTAAGTGTGGGGGAGGGTGAAGATATTTGCAGTTCTCTCGAGTACACCGGCCCTAAAAAATAATGAAGCAGTATTTCAGTGAACGTTAACACTCAGAGTACTGGGAGAAAATCAATTATTGATGTGTTTGGAGAACGGTAACAAAACTACCAGTTAAGTGGGGCATTCTGCTAAGCTATTCTGCCTCTTTTTTAAAACCATCTGTCATATTTTTATATTATTGTATCAGTTATGTGAAAACAAACCAAATACTACAATTGCTGCACCATTGTAGGGATCGCATCAAATTAAACTTCAGCCTAAAATACAGGTTTGCTAAACACACCAAGAGCCTTCTTCACAACCGAATACTAATAGAAATATTTTCATGAACTAACAATAAAAACAACAGCAACAACAATAACCATTTTCTCATTTTTCTGTGGCTCTGTGAACCCAAACACCAGAGCGCTGGGCTGCTATCTAACAACTGAAAGTGATACCTACTAGTATAGAAAAGTGAAACTGACCCCACTAGTCCCTGTAGAGACCTGAGTGAAATGTAAAAGTTAAACACACACCTATGGTGAAAAGTACATTTGTTTTCAAAATTCTTTCCGTTTGAATCATTTCAGGGTATTTGGTACCACAGGGAATGGCGGAAAACAGCCCTGATCCCTTTTAAACTATTTCCTTTTATTAAAAACAATAATACAATTGCCTTGCCATTAACTGCTTGGTTTTTCTTTTCACACAACCACCGGGAAAGGAAATGACTCCTGAGCAGTGCAAGCTTAGTGCTCTCGGGTCATTTAATATCGATTGAGATGATCACGTCTGCTTCCAAAAGGCAGTGATAAAATGTCACAACCAACAGCCTGAGCACACTGCACTAACCACCTACTTTCTGGTGCGTACAGAAAATTAGTAGCAAATTTGGTGACGCTGAAAAAAAATGCTTCCAAAAATATAAAAATAACTCCTCTAAAAATATCTATTTATTTATTCCCTCCTGTGTTACGGTTTCCTCTCTTTCTGGGGGGGAGGGGAGGGAAGTGTATGCATCTCACTGCAGAGATTGTCAGTTCTCGGGGCAGGCCCTGCCTTTTTTGTTCTGTGTTCGTACAGCCCCTGGCGCCGGGGTCATGGCAAAGAACAGTAGTAGTCACGTTAAATAATTACAACAGCAGCAATAAAACCATCATCAGCGTTATTCATAAAAGAACAATTCGCTACAACAGCCTCCTGGGATTTAGATGGTCGCTTTAGGAGCCCATGTTCGAAGCAGGATTTTCCGCTTTACCTTAAATACATTTACTTTAAGAAAAACGACAGGGCTACTCATCCAAGTCATGCTCCCTGCGCGTTTGCAGGGTCAAGCTCCAAACGATGGCAAAACGGCAGCCGCCCATGAGATCCACACACGCAGACCCAGGTGGACACACGGTCCGGCCTTGCCGATCCCATTGCAGCATTGGGACCAGGCCTGATTTAGGGCTGGTTTTTCACTCCACTAACCCCAGGCGCTATGTTTAGAGTTTTAAAAAACTTAACTCTGCCGGTCGACGGGTGCACAGCGAGGTCTGCTGGTCTAGTTTTCACTGGTTAGTACTCGCATCAAATAGCCAATAGGTTAGCCTCAGAGAAGTGTTTTCCCCTTAACACGGGACACATTTACCCTTCCAATAGAGCAAGGTTAAAAACTTAGGCTAACCCAGGCCCCCAAATCCAGGCCCTTTTAGAACGTAAGGGCCCAGATCCCTAGGGAAGCCCAGGCTCTGCTAAGCACATCTGTGGAGAGGTGAGGGCAAAGGAAGCTTAGAGCCGGCTCAGAGCTGCTCTAACTTACAAATCAGCGGTAACAGCTTCCCGGGGTCATTCCAGGGGTCAGGGATCACTGGTGCGCAGTGTTTTGGCAACACCCCTTGCATGCCCCTATGCTGGGGGGATGCTTAGAGGCAGGCCGCAGAGCTGACTTTGCCAGCTTTCCACCAGCAAATTCCCTATCCTAGGTGGGGAGCTCTGGGGACTACACCATGTGCAATGAACTCGCCCTGTGTATGCTAGAATTCAAGGCCTTACAGAGCATTTTATTCCGCCAGGAAAAGGAGGGAGGAGGAGACAGAGAAACTCATTGGCTTTGTTTCCCTGGCAAAATGGATTCTAGTTGTAGCGACACCTCCTGCTCTCTGTAAAAAGAGAGACGTTGGGAATACAGACCTATAAATATTGAATCAGCTGACTGGGAAGCCTACAAAGCACTTGTGAGCTCTGGCAAATATAAAACGTGCATTAAAAAAAAAAAAAACAGCACAAATCCGTGGCCTGCTTGAGAGACCAGCACTGCTCTGATCTAGCGGATCACTGAACAGGGCCCAGGGCCAACATATCTTCCCTGCACTGTGGCAGGCTCCCAGCAGCGCCACTAGCTTTACAGATCCCACAGTCTCGGAGGTGGCTCCCTGTTCTGAGTCTGTCTAGCAGACACAGACGGGTAAATTCCGGCATCCCAGCAGAAATACCCCCTTCTTCTAGCACCCAGGCTTGATCGCCACAGGTAGCAATCCGAGTCTTGGGCATGCCGCGGCAGGACTTAGCCTGGCTGCTGCAGCATGGGGACAGGTACATCCCCCCAACGCTTTCCCTCCTCCTCTCCTGAGAACTCCAGTCTGGAGGTCGTTTAGGAAGCAGGGGGGTAAAGGGGCCCTGTGGATCCTAGATATAGTTCTACTGCTCCCCTTAAGAAATACGAGCTGGGATCCCCGAGCGAGCAGGCAGGAGCGGCGGCAGCTCCACAGAAAGGGGGCAGGATTTGAACTATCCCTTGGAAGCTGTTGCAAGTGGGCAGAAATGCACAGGCCTTTTCTTATCTGCTTTGTGATGGGGGAAGGATTAAACCATGGGTCTTGGTTCCATGATATTATTTTGAGCGGACTATTAAATGCAAGGAACTATGGGTCCAAGTCCCTCTCTCCTGTAAAAACCAGTGGGACGGGAAAACTGCTCCAAACTGTCAGAAGACTGCCCTGGCAGAGGGAAAGCGTGTGCTCCCCTCGTCCTGGGCAGCGGCTTGCTGGCTTTCTAGAGCAAGTGAAAGCTTGGGCCCTGGCGTGGGTTAATTCCTGCCGCATGGAGGACATGACTCTCCCTCCCCAGGCACCTGGTGCAGTCGTGGAGGATACCAGTGCAGTGAGTGTAAAATGGCACCATCCCCATTTGGCAGTGCTCTGACAGGCACTGGTCCCTACGGCTGCCCAAGGAGCAGGGCAATAAAGAATCGGGCTCAGGGCCTGGATAGTCTCTGCTAGTTTGTCCTGTTGATTGTTCATACCGTCCTGCTCACCTTGCCCATACATGGATGGAAACACAAAAGCAGGAGCCCAGCCCGGAGCCGGGTAGCTCCTTTTTAGGAAGGCGCCTCTAGACACAGTACTGGAGTCAGGTTCCCAAGTCAAGCTGCTTCTCCCTGCACATCTCCCCAACACGCTGTCCCTAGATACCTCTGTAGCACCAGAGAATGGGAGCGTCTCTGGTGGGCAGAATCCCTCTAGCTCTAAGCCACACTTTCCTCACCACATGGGACCAGCCAGCCACACCGCATCAGCCCCAATGTGGCTTGAAGCCTCTGCTGCAATTTCTCCCCTTGAGCTGGGCTCAGCGCTCCTCAGCTGCAGTTCAGGATCTGGGCCTCTATTTGCACAACTGCACATAGTTACCAGCCAGCCATTCTATTAGAAGCTAATATTTTCAAGGGTTTATAAATCAGCCTTCAAAATTCCTTCCAGCTGAAACTTGGCATGCACGCCTTTGGACTGGGAAAACATTCATTTCTTCCAAATTTGGACTAAATCTATGTGGATGTTTTTATATTACAGGAGGGTAAAAAAAGAGCTACTGGTTCTGTAAACAATATTTATGGCCATATTTTGTAAATTGAAAATGGCTGTTATTTAAACTGAAATTTTGCAGCTCATTGATTCATCACGTAGATCAACCCTGGGTAAGTCGGAAGTATCTTTGTGAAAGCAGGAGCTATTCACACAGAACAGGCGGTGCTCATAAATGTTCAGTATTCTGTTCCCACAACGTATACAGTAGGCCGTGATCCTGCAACTGGATCTGTGTGGGTAGAAACACGTGCCCACGCAGATCCTGCTTGGCTTCACTGGGTCTCCATGCATGTGCAAGGGTCCATCCATGCAGATTTGATTGCAGGATTAGACTGTCAGTCTAATTCAAAACTGCTCCCGCATACGAGCTCCAAACAGGACCAGTCTCAAGTTCCTCATCATGATCATGTCATCGTAAGAGATTAAAACACCCAGCGAGACAGATTTCAAAAGCTCAGTGACATCATGACGGGTTATTTGCCTTTGTCATGGATCAGACATTGGGTACTCTGGAAACGGACACTGGATTTTAGGGACCAGTGGTCTAACCTAATACAACAAAACCTATGTTCACATTTTTTAATGTCCCTAATTATTAGATATTTTTCCTGAAAATACTTTTCAGAATGTGCTCAGGCTCTGCAGAAACGTATCCTGCATGGTTAGAAATTCTCTACAATCCCACACCTCCACGCTTTCAGCTCACTGTATAGCGCCCAGCGATAATCCACAAATAAGCAAACACTTTTATGGCCAACCTCAGCCCTGCTGGAAGGCGGTGAAACTGCATGTGGTCCTTTATTATCAAAGCATTCCATGGACACTACCTAATTAATCCCCACAACTCACCAGTTAGGTGAATGTCATTATCCCCGTTTTGTAGGTGGGGAAACTGAGGCAACAGGGTGGGGTTAGTTTCTGGCCACCCAGTGACCCTATGACCAAGCTGGGTTTATGCCTTTCTGCCAGCACAAATCAGGGAAAGCAATCCCCTTAGCACAGAGTAGCACCGAGCTGGCATGATAATTCCACACCTCTTGGCACCAGCACAGAAGACTTGTGGGGTTTGACATAGGGGTGAGGCAGGAGAACCTCTGCAGCGTGGCTATTGGACAAATCAGCATAACTCAGAGCAGCCCTGGGGTTGCTCTAGCTTACACCTGGGAGTGGCCTGGTTCCTGGC